TTGAGAGAATCAAAAAGATTTAAAAAACTATACTAAATACCTGCAGATCACATTCGCCTCCCTGGTCACAAATGGGACAGTCCAATGGGTGATTGGCTAGTAAGAACTCCATCACCCCTTCTCTGTATATGAAAAATTGAAACACATAAAATAACATCAAAATACACTCTACTGTCATGTATATCTAAAAAAGAATAAATTTTTTATAATGTCATAAATAAACTAGCACTCTGAATGGCTTACCTATAGGCTACTTATCTTCACAGATAAACTTTTTCTCATACAGGGAGTAATGATTTTACATGCATTATAAGAAATGCAAATGTAACTATCATTCTGGAAGTACTAAACAAAATTTGAACTGTTTATAAGAGTCTTGAATAAAATATCACTAGAGAATCTAGGAAATTATAACTTTTAACAATATATAAGTATATATATTGTTAAAAGTTGTTGAAAGGGCTTCTGAAAATTAAATTAGATTTAATTTAGTACGATTACTAATAATAATTGTACTAAATTAAATCTAAATTCTTTATCATCACAACTTGAGCAAGTTACTAAACCAGGGTCTTAAATGATGATTCCATTTTAAAGTTAATTCCATAAATCCCTGACTTGACTTCCTTATACGTGTACTTATCTCCATTACTTTTATAAGCCAAGCACACCAACTTCTTCAGAGTTAGATACTAAATTTCTAGTCAATGGGAGGTCTAAATATCATGTTAAGAAAGTCTACTACATTAGTAACAACAAAGTACCTGGCTTTCTTAGATTTTTCTGAGTTTGTCAGGATATTCCAACCCTTCATTACTGGCATAGCACAAGCAGCTACAACCTGGAATTTCAACAGAAAAATTCATATCTATATTTAACATTAAATTACATAACAGCATTAAGTTATATATTCAAAAACAAGCATGGGGATGGGGTAATGGCTCAGCGGTAGAGTGTTCGCCTAGCATGCATGAGGCACTGGGTTCGATCCTCAGCACCACATAAATGTAAAATGAACATATTGTGTCCATCTAAAACTAAAAACTAAAAAATAAACAAGCAAAAAACAATATTTCTCCAGATAGAATTTTCCAACTTTTCATTGTTATAATATGGATAATCTGGTATTTCACATTCTTCCTATAAACAATTAAGATATTGCTATGATTTGGACATGATTTATCCTCCAAAGGTTTAGGTGCTGGAAGCATGGTCCCCAGACTAATGGTATTGAAAGGTGGAGGGACCTCTTAAGAGGTAGAGCCTAATGGAAGGTTATAGAATTCCAACAGATTAATGCTGGTCTCTGAGGTTAGGTCTCAGAGGAGTAGATTAGTTCCAGTTAGTGTGTTATTATAAAAAGCAAGGTGAGACCCCACCCTGGTCTCTTGCTTCCTCTTTTGCCACGTTATGAAGCTACCAGATCCTCTCAGCAAAGGCCAGCCAGACAGGAATGCCTCATTTTGGGACTTTTAGCATCTCAACAGTGAGCTAAATAATCTCTTTATAAAAATCATAAAGTACCTAGTCTCAGATATATTTTTTAAATAGCAAAACAAAACAAACTAAGACACTCTATTTCTTAAATATATTCTAATAGCTGATGCATTTTTTTTATTCTGCTGTGAAACAGAACATCATAAAACTATACTTTCATTTGTAGGTGCTACTAACCACCAAAATGCAATTAAACTACTCAAAGTGAACTTCTTCATTACAACCCTTCTCTTGAGTGAAAATGGTACCACATAACCACTTTAAATGTGCTACTTGGCAAATCACATTTAATTTCTAGACCCATTTCAATTATATGGCACTTAGATTCATAAGGCACTTCTATCAATGTATTTTTAGTTTTGAAACAAAATAAGTCAACTGTGCCTCCCCCCAAAAAACATTGAATTTGCAGATAATAAGTAAACAGGGCTAAGTTCTCCTCTACGACAGTATTGACTTTAAATAAAGTTTGTGGCAAGATTTACTGTTTTCTGCATTCTACAGCATGGTGTGGAATTATAGGAATTAAGTACCTTAGGAGCTTTCTCAATTTCAACAAGGCACATCCTGCAGTTTCCAGCAACAGATAACCTTTCGTGATAACAAAATCGAGGGATCTGCATGCCAACCTTCTCACAAGCCTATAAGACAAAATTTTTTAAAAATTTGCATTAGAGCCAGATGTCTTAATGTACACCTGTAAGCTCAATGACTTGGGAGGCTGAAGAAGGGGGATCACAAGTTCAAAGGCAGGCTTAGCGACTTAGCAAGACCATGTCTCAAAAAAATAAAATAAAAAGGGCCAGGGATGTGGCTCAGTGGTTAAGCATCCCTGGGTTCAATCCCCAGTATTCCCCCTACCCCCGCCAAAATCAGCACTGGAATAATCTGACTTCATTGCTGTTCTTGTTAAAATAGAAGGGGGTGGGGAGGCCACTTTATTTTTCCTGTCCATAAATATCTGTACCTTCACCCATTCTTATTTCATTTCTGATACCCTCCTTTTTTGATTCTTGATTTGCACCCCTGTTGGCACTGAAGCTGCCCCAGGAGATCTAAGACCCATCACCATGCCTTGATCTTATGTGAAAGAGAAACTGGATATAAAGTATTCACAGACTGACTTCCCACATCTGTTCTAAAGCACTGTCTACAAAGGCTCCCCTTTAAACTCTGTTCCATTGGTTTCATATATGGACTTCCTTCTTTCCTTCCTTTGGATTAGAGATACCTCTCACATCATCTAGCTGGCTATTATCTAGTTCTGTCTTTGGCTCCATACACCCAGCCCAGGACTCACATTCTTACACTAGCTGAAGCTCTTCCCAGTTTCTTTTTGCCAAGAGAGAGGAATTAGCTTCACTCTACCAATTACTACCCTCCTTCTCTGCAAGTTCCTTCTTCTATTAGTCTATAAACATGTTCAAATTTCCTCTACACTAGTTCTTCAATCCTCTGCTCTCACTCTAATCTTATCAACTTTCAATTTTTTAACTATTTAGTTAGGGAAAATGTGTTTAACCATTTAGTCCACAAAAATGTGCTAGATGCAGCAGGTATAAAAATGAGACACTGTCATAGCCTTCATACTAGCTCACATTCTACATGATGACTAAACTTAAACCTTTAGCCACAGTCCAGATATTTCACTTCTCTAAACTTCAGACTTAAATAGGCATTTGAATATGTAGTTCTAACCTGTTTCTATCCCCTACATACAAATAAGCTAAAAAACAAAAACCCATTTAAACAAACAAACAAACAAAAAAACTCCTGTTCTCTATCAGGTCTAAAGGCCTGTTTATCTGTGTCTTATTATCCCTTGAATACATCCTTCTTGTTTTTAATTCCACTACTACTATCTATTTTAGGCTTTTTAAAATTTAGTGTTTCATAAATACAAGATTTTTTTTTTCCTTTTCCCACACTGGTTTTGCTGTTCTCCAAACTATCATCCTCTACAGTCATTGTCAAGTGCTTACTAGCTTTCAAATTTTCCAAAGGTCCAACAACAAGCTCTTTAATTGGCAAATATTTTATTTCATGACTAGCCCTACCCCTCCTCATACCTTGATTTTCTGCTATCTCATTTCCTACATATACCTCATGTTTTATCAATACCAAACTATTTGAGGCTTCCTAAATACAAGTTATCTGCCTTAATTATTTTTCCACAGAAAATGCACATTGTCCTTATTCACATATAAACATACCTACTCATCCTTTAAATCTTCCTCAGGGATTGTGTGAGATGCCCCTGACATCTCTTTCTGCTACCACCTATTCTATGCCAAAATACTTTCCATTGCACCTTGAACATATTTTTGTTATATATTTAGTGCTTTGTATCAATGCCTCATAGATAATCTAGAAATGACTGCTGAAATAAACAATGAACATTTAGTTCTGTGCTGATCTGCAGATGGAATGAAGCATCACTTCTCATGACCAAATCTGTTATATTTCTGGGGGAAGTTGGAACATTGAGTATTTAAGGCATGAATTCAAGAATATTCCACCATCTACATACCTGCATTATAGGACACATTCCTAGAAATTATTAAAATTCAAGTTACATGAAAGTTAAAAGCATCAACCAGGCCCACAACAAACTAAGGTTACATTTTCCCACTTACCTATAGTAACCAAAAGTTTATTTTAGAGAACTTCAAATTTCTTAATGGGTATCATTTGGAAGGCAGAAGTGAAACAAAAGAACTACCACCATAGTTCACTAAGACTGTCAAACACATATAAATGATAGTTTACTTTGAAATATCACAACTGAAAATCCAACTAGTGTCATATAATGTTGTTATATGTAGTGGGTTTTTTTTAGAATAAACAATATAAAGGAATTACTTTTTTTTTTTTTAATTGAAGAACACACTCACAAAAATAAAGAATTAGAATATATGCTTACTTGGAGGACAGTAGTCCCTGGTTCCACCATGACAGACTGACCATCAACGAATACTTCAATCAAGTTGCTTGCTGCTGTGGCAGTGGTTCGAACTGACCATCAAAACAAAGAGGTGAAAAATTAACATCACATAAACACTGCATTCAAAATGTTTCTTCATTTCATACTTATTTCTTTAAACTTTTAATATTGAATTAGGGAAAAAAAGCCTTTTCAAGCCTGAATATCAAAGTACGATTGTCTACTTTTATTTATTCATTTATTTTTGGTACCAAGGATTGAACCCAGGGGTTCTTAACCACTGAGCCACATCTCTAGCCCTTTTTAATCTTATTTAGAGACAAAGTCTTGCTGAGTTGCTTAGGGCCTCGCTAAGTTGCTGAGGCTGGCTTTGAACTTGTAATCCTCCTGCCTCAGCCTCCCAAGCTGCTGGAATTATAGGCTTGCACCACTATGCCCCGCCCCCAGTTTTATTCTGAAAATTATTCTGTCAACTTAAATAATTTGTCTCTATTTTTTAATTTTTTTCTTTTTAGATATATATTACAGTAGAGTATATTTGGACATATTGTACATACATGAAAATATGGAATGCTTCACAAATTTATATGTCATCCTTGCACAGGGGTCATGCTAATCTTCTCTGTCTCGTTCCAATTTTAGTATACATGCTGCTGAAGTGAACACTGTATTTTTATTTAAAACATGTTACGGGTATAAGGTTTAGACCAATTTTTACAAAGATAAAGTCTCATATACACAAATGAAAAAACAAAACACAACTTACCATATCCTTTAGGAGACTTAGAAAGGCCCACTAAGGCCCTTCTAACAGGTATCCTTAACATATTGCTAAAAATAAAACAAAGAGTTATATTATTATAGGGAAAAAACCCCACATAATTACAAACTTTTTAGTTCTGTTTTGTAGCACTTCATATATAATATGCCATTAAGCATTTACAAGTCCTGATATTAAATTTTTCCCTCAAGTTCTTTTTTTTTTTTTTTTTTTTTTAGGTACCGAGGATTAAACCAAGGGATGCTAAACCGCTGGGCCACATCCCCAGCCCCTTTTTATATTTTATTTAGAGACAGGATCTTGCTGAGTTGCTTAGGGTTTCACCAAGTTGCTAGGCTGGCTTTGAACTTGTGATCCTCCTGCCTCAGCCACTCCTGCCTTCTCTCAAATTCTACAGATAATAATCTCAGAAACTTTAAGGGATTTGCACAATGCCAATCAGCTCAGAAGGAGTAGCTAGTATATAAATTTGTTTTTAATTTTATTTATTTATTTATTTATTGGTAGCAGGGATTAAACCCAGGGGTGTTTTACTACTGAGCTACATCCCTAGTCCCTTTTATTTTTCTTGAGTTGCTTGGATTACAGGTTTGTGCCACCGTGCTTAGCTCTAAATTTGGACTTTCTAATACTATGGAAAAGGCAGTTTTGCTATTTTATAACCACAAAGAAAAGATAAAATTTAAATCACTACAGTATAGAAAAATAAACAAGAATGACTGAATTTATCATTAACACTGTGTAAAATAAAGCTTTTCTGTCTTTTCTACAAGCATCCATTCTATCATTGTGTGTGTTCTAAGTGTAGTCACCTCCTAAATGCTCCTGAAATATACTGAGATAGTTTGCAAGCAAGTCTTCTCTGTGTCTTAAGATCTGTTTTCAGTGCTAAGTAGTACATTTACCTTATAGATTTGCAATTATAAGTTTACATACTCTCATTATACGATGAACTCTATCTTCAGTACCTATCCTCAAGGCTTAAAGTAAGCTTTAAAACAGTGGTTCTCAACTAGGGACAATTTTGCTTCCTAGGGAATATTTGGCAATTTGGTCTGGAGACATTTATTTTCACAACTAGGAAGAAGCTACTGACACCTAGTGGGGAGAGGGCATAATGCTGCTAAGCATCCTACAATGCACAGGACAATCCTTGAAAATAGTTACCAAATGTGGAACAGTGCATAAGATGCTGGGTGTAATGGTGCATGCTTGTGATCCCAATGACTAAGGAGACTAAGACAGGAGGACTGCAAGTTCAAGGCTGGCCTTAGCAACTGAACAAGACCCTAGAAACTCAGCAAGACCCTGTCTCAAAATTAAAAAACAATTAAAAGTATTGGAGATGTAACTTGGTGGTAAAGTGCCCCGGGTTAAATCTTCAATACTAAAACAAAACAAAATAAAATAAATAGTGCTAAATTGACATGCTGCCCTGCGTTTTGCTGAATTGCCAAAATGAATGGGGATGGATTATATAAACATTACCACTTGAATAAAGATACACATGGGCGAACAGAAAAGGTACCTGCACTCTTTTTAGTTCTTTTTTGAACTCAGTTGATCATATAGGTTATGCAATGAACTTTCTCTTTACTCACATTATCATTTATGTGTAAAATAAAGGCTAAGGCTCTAAACCCATCATTTTTCATTGGAACTTTTAAAGGTATTAAAATAAAAATCATGTGATTATAATGTATCAACAAAAATATCTGGACAGTGAAACACCTTCAATAGTTGCAATAATACTATTAGAAAACAGAACATATATACATTTTAAGCAAAAATTTTGCAAACTTATCATAGATGATATGTAATAGAAAATTTCATTCAGATCTCATTTAATTTCACTAATTTATCAATTACAATAATTCATAAATTCCATAATAAATTTGCACATCTGTTACATTCCAGTAATTTGGGGCAACTCGGTTTCTATTTTTTTAAAGTATTTATTCTCCCTAAGTTTTAGGTGAACATCTTTATTTTACATGTATGTGAGGATCAAACCCAGTGCCTCGTGCATGCTAGGCGAGCACTCTACCACTGAGCCACAATCCCAGCCCCTCAGTTTCTTGTTCTTTATGTACAGAGCCAAAGAAGAATAATAATACTTCTTAAGCAATATGCTCTTACTAGGAGTTCAATAACTGCCAGTGAAAGCTGAATTAAGGCTGTATTGGGCACTGACAATCAGTTCTGAAGTACTCTTCCTTTGTGCTCCTTTACTACCAATACCCATTGTGTGTGTGTGTATTTATTATTCCATTTATTTAACTGCAGGTTAGGTATCAATTTTAGTACCCATTAGAGTATAAGCTGTATGAGGGCAAGGAATTTGATCTTTCCCTTTTCTGAAGCCCTAGCACAGTGCCCTTACAAAAACAGTGACCAAATGGTCTTATCACCAAGTTCCAAATTGAGTAGCATCTGTCCTAATAAAAACTACTGATGGCATATAAAAGTAAACCTGAATTTGCTGAATCAGAGTAACACAATATAAAAGTAGTGTGAATTAGCCTGTTGAACATTCAGCAACGAATGGAACACTGCATAGCTCCAACATAAGAAATACAGATTTGCAACACTTCTGTTGCAAATATGCTTTAAACATATTTATCTATGGGTAGGAATGGGAATAATGACAGTTATCCTTTTAGAGGCCTAACTAGAGTTCATGGGTAAGATAAAGTCACTTTGGGTGGAAAATGCTCAAACAAATAAGTTATGGAGACAGACTAAAGATCTGTTAAACAGCAGAAGACTATAGCAGGGTATGCCTACACATCACTTCATTCTCCTGGATGCAACTTAGTGCTCTGTGTACAGCAAATTCAAGTTTTGTTTTTTCAAATTTTCCAAAACTTTTTCCTGAATACTTCTGATCCAAAGTTGGCTGAATCTGAAGATGGGGAATCTGCAAATGTGGACTCTGCAGATACAGAGGAAAACTGTACTTTTGTTGGGAAAATGTTAATGACCAATCACCTCTAAAACTAGAACCGACATTTTTCCACATAGGGACTATAATACTCCACCTTCTCCACCACATATTCCGCACCCATTCAGTTCTCTCCCTCCAAAATATTACCCTATTCCAAGTCACCATCCCCCTCTTGCCTGCACCATTTCAATAGCCTCTTCGCAGGTTTCCTAGCTTCCACATTTTTCTATACCTGCCCTCATCCTGAAAGGCTCTTCCCTCAGATCTTTCTGGTCCCTCCCCATCCTTCGGATTTTGGCTTAAAGGTCTTTTCTCAGGCTTTCCTCATCAGCCTATTTTAAAATTTCCTGATGAAATTCCCACCCATATAACCCATTTTGTTCTTCTTTATGGACTAACTTCTGGTTTACTGTACATGTTCAGGAACTATTTATTAAGTGAACTACGTCTCCAATCTCTGGCTGTAATTTAGAGACCATTTGTCTGGAATTGAAAAGTGCAGGTGCTCTTGCAGGCTTATAACACTAAATGTAATGATTCACAACTCAATGAAAAGAAACATTTTTCAAAACCAAAAAGGAACCTGATGTTTATTCATCAAAAACAATTCCCGTTACATTTTCTATATTCTCAGTTCACGGGTGAAGAGAGTTGTGTCTGATCCATGATCTTACAGGAAATGGGTTTAGAACCCAGAACTTGTAAATAACTTAACTGTGTTTATAAATGCGACCTTACGCTAACTCTTTTAAAGTCCTTTGTCAGTTTCCGCGACAGGAAAAGGAATAAAAAGTGATACCCAAAGTGGTTAGCAGACAAAACAAAACAACCATCACAGGCATTAACAGTTGCCTAAGCAACAGCGACTAAGTAATAACGTACTCTTCCAGGTGCAGCATATGGAAATTTGTGGGAAATGTTTAAGCCTTTAGGCCCAAATCACTGTGACCCAGGTGCTTTTCCGAGGAACAAAACGGCCTACTCCTGATTTTCCTTGCAGTGGAGAGGTCGCTCACAAGCCCGCATTCAGGCAAGCGTTTCAGAGGGTCTCCCGACCCTCCTCCTCCTTTCTGCTCCACCGGACCAGAAACCAAGACTAACATTCTCACCTGCCGCAACTCAGGGGTTCCCAAGGCGGCAGGGCGGGAGGCGGTGCCCAGTCAAGGGCAAAGGAGAACGAGTCGCCTGGGCCACATAAGGCAGTCCCGTCAAAAATTAAAACTCTGGCCGAGATCACTCAGCCTTCTCACCTAAACACTACCTCACCTTCTGCCCGGAGCCGCTGCAGCTGCTCAGCTGGAGTGTCCGGCCCACACTGACCCCTCGGAGACCCGGCAACTTATCCAATATGGCGGTCTCGGCTAATTCTGTCAGCCGGGCCTGGTGAACGGAAAGCAAGAGGGACCAGAAACCCTGATTCGATAATTTCACATTTCGGTTAAATTCGGCAATTCCCGTCAATCTGACGAAGGGCTCGGAAGAGGCAGGGCAGACGACTTGGGACTGCAGTTCCGCCGGAAGTAGGCGGAACCTTGAGACCTAGCGCCTTCGGTCATCTCCGGCATTTCAAGGGGCGGTTCCTGTAGTTTTTGGAAGCCGCGGAGGTACGAATTTAAGAAATGCCCCTTCTGTTTATTTTCAAAGACACCGAAATGTGCGCGGACCACTTGTGGGCCATTTAATTCAGAACTTCAGAACTCCCCAATTTTTACGTGGAAGAATGTGAATAGTAACGTAATTTGACCTTTAACCTTTAGCCGGGTGCAGCGGAGGGAAACGCCTCCATCTCTATATAAGGAAATTTCCGGCCGGCTGGGGCCCTTTTCTCTCTTTTAGCGCTAGGCGCCGACCTCTCGCGCTCTTTTCCTCCGCTGCTATCCAGCTACCGGTAACAGACAAGGCCATGGGTTTCGGAGACCTGAAAAGCCCGGCCGGCCTCCAGGTGCTCAATGATTACTTGGCGGACAAGAGCTACATCGAGGGGTGAGCGGACCCGAGGCGGGGCGGCTAGGGAGCTTCTGGTGCCGGGCGTCCGGGGCCACGTGGCGCAGCCACCTCAGGAGCAGGGGAGAAGGAGGCTAGACCCTGGGACAGCTCGAGCACCGCCTCCAGGGAGGGCGATGTTATAGAGTAAAGGTCAAAATGTGCTTTATTTCCACTTACATGATTCAACCAAGTTTGTATTTTACCTCTTTTCCAAGTTAGGAAGTGTTAGCCTGTAGATAGAGCACAGACTTTGAGATCTACCGAAGTGGCAGGTATTTCTCCGGATAGCGTGGTTTAACCAAACAGTTGGTCTCTGATCTTAAGCAGCTTATAATTTAAAAACTTAAGCAACTCATCTCGGTAATAAGTGGGCGAGATCCCATTAATTACCTTCACTGATTAGCTATGTAGTTTATTTTCTGATGTTTGTGTCGTTTAAAAACGTATGATTGTTTATCTTTGGCAGGTATGTGCCATCACAAGCAGATGTGGCAGTATTTGAAGCCGTCTCTGGCCCCCCGCCTGCGGACTTGTGCCATGCCCTACGTTGGTATAATCACATCAAGTCTTATGAAAAGGAAAAGGCCAGGTAAAAATATCTTTGTATCTATCTGAAGAATAAGACTGCTTTATAAGCTTAATCAGGATTTTCACATGACAAAAGTGGACCCAGGCTACTTTAGTCCTGTTGATATATTGTAAGCTAAATTTTTTTGTGACCTTAGAAGGCCAAGAGACTGAAGTCCTGCATTTTTTCACAGAACAGGTAGAACATGGACAGCAGCAATTCAACTTTTCCCCACACTGCCCTGCCAATGTGCTTCGACCCTGACCTGGGGGGGCCACCGATGGGGTGAGAGGGTGGCTCAATCATTCAGTCCTTTGCCATTCTTCTGAAACTACCAACAAGGGTGGAAGTTTGGGGAAGTGGATTCCAGTTAACTAAGAATGGAACTGAGCATACTTAATGAAATCTCAAACAGAAATGTTGATACTGAAAGAGTAAATCATAGTGAGTATTGAATATAACATCTCACATGGTACTAATGTTTGTTGGGTGAGGAGTTGGACTTACTAAAGTGTTTACCTGGGAGTGTGTTAAAGTGTAAATTCTAACCCTGCTCAGGAGCACAAGTCTGTAATCCCAGCTACTCAGGAGGCTGAGGCAGGAGGTTTGCAGGTGGAGGCCAGCCCCAGCAACTTTGCAAGACCCTGTCTCGAAATTTAAAAGGACACCCTGCAATTATAGCTCAGAGACAGAGCACTTGCTTACTATGCTTAATGGCCTGGGTTCAATTTTCCAGTAGTGCTAAATGTGTAAAGAGTGAATTCTTAATACAAAAGGGACCTAATTATATACAATTATAAATATAAAATCTCACATTGTCCAGGAAAGGACATTATATCAACCTAATAGCAATTGAATTTTTTTTTCAAGCCTTCCAGGAGTGAAGAAAGCTTTGGGAAAGTATGGCCCTGCCAATGTGGAAGACACCACAGGGAGTGGAGCTACAGATAGCAAAGATGATGATGACATTGATCTCTTTGGATCTGATGATGAAGAGGTATGACAACTTTTTATGTAAAATATATAGGCAGTGTATCTTTGTGTATAAGTATGAATGTTATTGCCAGATTACCTGGATTTGAATCCTGGCTTTTATTATCTGCCTTTAAAACCTTGATTCACACTGGTTACATGATGAATAAAATCAAATCACCATCTTTCGGCTGAGCTCGTGATGGATTTGCTTTTTTCTGATAAAGGTGGTCTCGTGATGATATCACCACCTCCAGCTTTCAGCAGAGGAATAACCAGCTTTGTGAAATATATTTTTTCTTTACAGGAAAGTGAAGAAGCAAAGAAGCTAAGGGAAGAACGCCTTGCACAGTATGAATCAAAGAAAGCCAAAAGTAGGTCATTTGTCTTCATTCATTTCATAGTAATATGAATGATCTTTTTCAAAACTTGACCTCAAAGTAATTTCCTCCACTTTTATTGAATAGGTCAGTGTTTCAAAACCTTTCATAAAACTTCCACAGCTACTGGTCTGCAGCTGTTCTAATGGTAGCAGTTGTAGCATTCCTCTGTGGGAAATAAACTGTTATACAATTATATGCCTCTTTCTTAGCCAAAGAGAAAGTGGGCACATGTGTGTGACAGACACATGATGTATTGTTTAGTTATGTTTGGCTAAGGACGTCATGCTTCCAAAACCAATTGATATTTGGATTATGGTGAAAACATGATTACTTTAAATAATGGTGTTTCTTGTTTTTTAGAACCTGCACTTGTCGCCAAGTCTTCCATCTTACTAGATGTGAAACCTTGGGATGATGAGACGGATATGGCAAAATTAGAGGAGTGTGTCAGGAGCATTCAAGCGGATGGCTTGGTCTGGGGTTCCTGTGAGTTTAATTTTTGGGTTTTGAAGTTGAAATCTGGAATTTGCATATGCCCATTAACAAGACTTTTCTAACTTCAGATTTTTCTTAATATTTTTTTTTAGCTAAACTAGTTCCAGTGGGATATGGTATTAAAAAACTTCAAATACAGTGTGTAGTTGAAGATGATAAAGTTGGAACAGATATGCTGGAGGAACGGATCACTGCATTTGAGGACTATGTGCAGTCCATGGATGTGGCTGCTTTTAACAAGATCTAAAATCCATCCTAGATTGTTGCACTTAAATAAAAGCTTGAAAGATTACCCTTGGCTCTTGAGCATTCCTTGTCATTTTGAGGGAAGGAATTCAATGCTATGTAATTAATAGGTAATAAAAATTTAACATTCTTATTAAATATTTAGCAATTCTGATGTACCTGTTAGTGAAGTCGTCAGCAGTGTATCATGCTGATGACACAGTCTGTTTAACTCTGCCCTGCCCTTATTTGTGTTACTGGAAATCCAACTTGGGACCTTGTGTTAGGCAAGCACTCTCCTACTGAGTTACATTCCAGACCATTTTTTGGGTGTAGGGGATTGAACTCACATACATCCTTATTTTGCATTTGATTTGGAGATGGGGCCTCACTGAGTTTCTAAGCACATTGCTTTTGCCACATCAGGCTTTGAATTCTTAGTTCTCCTGCCTCAGCCAACAAAGTAGGTATGTGCCGCCATGCCCTGCCATAAGCCAACATCTTCAAATTGATTTGATGACAAATCTCACTCAAAAATAACATTGAGTATTAAAAGATATTGGACATGTTACAGTGTTAGAGGAGGGAAGTTGGGTTAGGGAAAGTGCCAAAATTGTCAAAAGCACTTATATGTTACAGATTTAAAATAATGCCTTTATGAAGTAAACCTTTTTTGGAACAGTACTGGGTATTGAACTTGGGGCAGTCCTATTGGCCATTTCTATTTTTTGAGACGCAGTCTTAAATTGCCCAGGCTGTTTCTGATTTGAAAAACCTATTTTACCCTCCTGGAAGATGAATTGCAGGCATGTGATATGTAATACCACCTCACAGAACCTTTTTTTAAAGATATTTTTAGTTGTCGATACTAATGTGCTGAGGATTGAACCCAGTGCCTCATGTGCTAGGCAAGTGCTATACCAGGGCCACAACCCCAGCCCCCCACAGAACTTATTACCTGTCATGTGATCTGGAATGTGTCCTGGGCCCTGGGAGGAACATATATAGGTAAATGATTCCTAATTGAACTAGATAAGCATTTCTTGGAAAGTTTCATAAGGTGCTCGAATATGGGAAGTGGTTTGTTTTACTAGGGATTGGAAATCAACCTTTTGGTTCTAGTAAATAGTGCTATATATTAAGTGCTAATCCATGCTAGTCAAGTACTGAAAATAGGTGTTTTTTGCTTTTAAATATTTTTGTTTATTTTTATGTAGTGCTGGGGATGGAACCCAGGTCTCACATGTGAGAGGAAAGGTGAGCACAACCCTAGCCCACTAGGTGTTTTTTGTTGGTTTTTCAGTGGTGCTGGGTATTGAATACAGTGTCTCGTGCATGCTAAGCAAATGCTTTCTACCACTGTGCTACGTCCCCAGCCCCTACGGCTGTTTGGGATATGTCTTAACATTTAATTGACACAAATTTAGATTTATATATTCGTATATGTGGGTGTTTGTATTTTTTTAAACTAATTTTTATAAAAGTACAGCTTGGAAAATGTATTTTTCCCCTTTTTGGTACCAGAGATTGAACCCACGATTACTTAAGTACTAAGCCATATCCCTCCCCCCCCCTTTTTGTTTTGAAACAGGTCTCACTAAGTTGCTGAGGTTGGTTTCAAACTTTCCTCCTGCCTCAGCCTCCCAAATCACTGAGATTATAGGTGTGCACCCAGTGGAAATTATCTTTGTCTCGTTTTTTAGACAGGAACCAAAGAAATTAAAATGATTTGTTTAGGTCAGTTTCTTCAAAAAATCCTCAGTGCTCTTTCCTTTCAGTCTGATTTTATGTTGTGAGTACCAAAGTGTGAAAAAATTTTCATTATGAAGAGGATTTAATCAGATAATAACTCTAAACCTAAAATCAAGGGGGAAATTTTCAGATTATTAGTAACAAAAGAGCCACCAGAGGGCAGCACTTTATTTTCTTGAGAGCTTGAGGATTGTGTAAGTGCACAAAAAATGGAAGGCTGACCTAAAGGTATATTATATTGATCTCATATTGGTGTCTATACCTGTAGGAGCAGAATGTAGAAATATCTACATCCTCAAGCATTCTCTAATTACAGTGGAACTAGGCTGGCCTATCCACCATCTGGATGTCAGTGTTTTTAATCTACACACTTGCACATATCCAGAATTTTTCAAAAACAATTTTATCAAGAGATAAGACTTAGGCACACGTTTTTTGACACTTGCCATCAAGAGATGGGAGAAGGGGATGCTCTGTGTTCCACACCTTTAATCTGAGCCAGTCTAGTCCTACTTTGACCAATCAAGTACAATGGAAGTAATACTGTATTAGTTCCATTCATAGCCTTTAAAAGGACTAGAAGTTCACATTGGCTTTTGGAGCTCTGGCCACTCTGAAGAGCCATGGTGGGGTACCTGTATGGGGAGTGAAAGGATGAGACAGAAGCTGCTCAGCCAGACCTCAACTGTTCCAAGCCTCAGCCTTTTGCACAACCAAGTCCAGCTGAGGCACCAGACGGCAAAGCACTGACAAACCTCCCTTCTGTGCCTTTGAATTCCTGATGCTTATGTTTGTGAGACGATAATTCCTGTTTAAGCAACTACATTTTGGAGCAGTTTATTGCGTAATGGTAGTTAATTGGAACAAAAATTTAAAATTAACTGTCACTTTAATTCACAAATGTGAATAGATTACATAAAGAAGTATACATGTATGTTAAGAATATGTCTAATAGGTTACTTGTAAAAATTAAAATGGATTTAAGCAAACATTTTAATGTTTTTTAATTAGACACTTAATATTAACAATTATGGTCTTTAAAAAGTTAAGATAAAAACAATACTGCTTCAACAGTGATGATTAATTCACTGTGATATAATTAGCAAGAATGACACAGATCATTAAGTGCAGAAAAAATATTGTACAGATCCTTTCTAAGTTTTATATCCACACAAAAAAATATGTCAACAAAATGAACAAAACAAAACATGGTCAGTGCTAAATCTTGGAACCAAATTTAAACTGGAAGCATTTGTCAAGAGACTAACACAAAAACCTGGTACTGATTTGTGGAAAAGTAAACTTATTGGGCTGTTTCCAGGAGAGTCAGATTCTTGGTTTCAGAGTTCCTGAGCTGCTCACTCACTGTGCCAGAACAGCTGACTTCCCATAGCGTGTACTTCAGTATCTCAGCAACTGAGGCCCTGAAGCGAGCTTGGAACTTTTTGCTAATTAGGACATAAAGGATGGGATTCAAGCAACTATTGAGGAATGCCAAACCAGTGGAGAGGGGAATTCCAGCCTGCAACACCTGGTGGAAATAGCTATTGTGGTGAATAGTGAGCTCCCAAATACTGAACAGGTGATACGGAGTCCAGCAAATCAAAAAGGCCATGACCACAGCCAGGATTGTCCAGAAATGCTTACTGGAGCTGAGGATGCTTCGCTTCTTGACCTTGAAGATGAGACACAAGTAACAAATACTCATTGTTAGCAAAGGGAAGAGGTAGCCAACAATAAATTTCACCCAAGTCAGAATGTGGTGCCTCATCAGGGTGAGGTCAGGATCATGCTCATGGAAATTGTTATAGCAAAGAGTGTGGTTATTGAGCTCCAGAGTATCCCGGAAGTACAGTGCAGGACCGCCAATTAGAGAAGCCAAAAGCCAGACCAATATAATAACAATCAGAGAGTTCTTCAGTGTTCGGTGCCGATGAGACAAAACTGGATGAATCAGGTGGATATAGCGGTCCAGGCTGATCACTGTTAGGAAAAACACACTGGAAAACATGTTCAACTGGGCAATAAAGGAATTAGCCTTGCACAACCAGATGCCAAAGGGCCAGTGGAAATTCATGGCCACATAGGAGATGTACAGGGGCAGGAAGAGAACAAAAATGAAATCCGCAATAGCTAGATTAAGAAACCAGAGAGTAGTGACTGTCTTCTTCCATTTGAATCCTGTGAACCAAATGACAATGGCATTTCCTGGAATTCCCAGGACAAATGCTAAACCACATAACACCAGGGAGACCCAGTGAACAATTCCCAGGTGGACTTTTTCCTCCATACCAGACTCTGGAGAGTAATATTCCAAGGCATAGGAATAATTATCAAATTCTTCAAATAATGGTTCCTCTAAATCTTCCATGATCTTGGTAGGGTGGAGAATGAGGAAATCTATGGGAACAAATTTAAAAGGAAAAAAAAAATATTTATGAGAAAAGTTCAGTGAATTATTAGAAACATAAAGATAAAAATATTTCATCTTATAACCAAACATATTCTATTTAGGGGGACGACTTTGCAATGTCCAAGCATTGGTAGGCCTCAGTTTCTCCAATTATCATTCTCTAAGCTGTTTGAGTTCATTTGCGTATTCAGTAAGAGTTAAATTAAAATGGTTGACTCTACAGGTGCAATTCCTCTATACATAATGCTTGTAGATCTGACTAAAGAGAATCTTAACATTAAACAAACACTTATAAAACAGATTAATACTTTACACAGTGATGAGTTCCAGATCTGGATTTGTATCTCTGATTTCTTAAACTG